GCTTTCTTCACCACATTTGCTTATTCACTCGTTTTGTCTTCAGCGGTTGTGTTGGGAAGGTGAGCATCATAGAATGCCAGTTTAATAGAAGAAAGTATTGAGTGGAGGCCCAATGTCCTTCTGTTACCTTAATGCTAAACCTATAAATATAGGCTCATAGACCTCTTTCCCCATCCTCATATAAATATATTTGCATATGTACATGTCTTTATCTAGACCTCTATAAATGCCCTTTGCCTTGAATGGGAACATTTTATTGTTTTTTAATTAAGTGACATTTTGGGGGAGAGTGTTTTTGTGTGTAAATATGGATGCATATGTATATTTACTTTTATTGTTAAAATGACATTTTGAAAGGGACAAGTGAGCCTATATAGAGAGTAAGATCTCCAAGCTAGTTCATCAGGAAAAGTGAGGAAAAATAACCCCGGTGAAGAGGAGCTGGGAGCCATTTAAGAAATGTGCCCCTCCCCACCACACAGAAATTCCTGATGCACATTCCAGGGCTCAGAAGGCACCTCTGTACTTTTACAGGGAGGAAACTCAGATTTGTCAGAGCATGGTGAGGAGACCCTGTGTACGTTTCTCAAAGGATTGTGTGTCTGGCAGTCATGGGAACACTCTGTGTACGTTTTCCAGCAGAACCAGGAGAGGACACAAGAAACTAGTACTGAATCCAAACATCTGCTCGTGTTGTTATTTTCAGACCCAACTACAGTTTTCTGTGGACATAATCTTATTCATACGTGCTCCCAATCAAATGATTTTAACAAATCATAGTCATAATAGCATGCAATGACTGTTTTCTACATGGAAGAAGGTAACTTCCAAAATAGTGCTTATCCTGGAATTTTCTTATCATGAAGTAATTATAATTTATTCTTCCCACCCTGTAGTGGTTAAGCATTGGGCTGCAATCCGCATGGTCAACAGTTTGAAACCACCAGCAGATCGGAAGGAGGGAGACTAGGCTTTCTACTCTCATAAACAGTTACTGTCTCGGAAAGCCACAGGGGGTTGCTATGAGTCAGCACTGACTCCATGCTGAGAGGTGAAAGGGCACATTCATTTTGAGTTGTGCGATTGCTTATAACCAGATTATACGACTCTCTTTAGAATCAGAAGGTTTAAAGGGGATATGAATGACAGAGTTTAATGAAGGTAGTTTTCAACTCTTTTGTCTTTCACACAATAATAAAACATCAAAAAATAACACTGTTTTTAAAAGCAGTGGTCTCCACTGTAGGGTTACATGTGTGGAATTCATTCTAATAAAATTATTCACTATGAAATTTGCTATATTGATAGCCAGTCGTAATACAAAATACAAATGAACGTAGAGTCCTTGGATTTATCAGTAGTCTTCAGGAGCTCCAAAGTAGTTTAGTTAAGGGACTGATTTCTAGTTGGTACAGTGAGTTCACTGGATGTAAAGTACATAAGAGTTTAGTGCAACCCTGCTTCACTTAGCTCTTCCTACATAACATACCTCCCCAAGGCATATTAGCAGTAACCCTTTATTGGTTCAGAGTCCCATGGCAGTTAGGGCGGGCTTAGCTGGGAACTAGGCTGGACTACTGGTTGGTCTGAGGCCTCATGTGTGGACGATCATCTGTTGACTCCACGGGAGCAGCATGGTCACTCACCTGTCTGGAACCAAAGCAGATGTGGGAGCAGATGCAGCGAGGTTTCGTGAGATTGCAGCTCAGAAAGTCCTAGGGTCTCCTCCTGTAGGTTCATCACAGGGCCATTTCCGATTCGAGGAAAGGGAAAATCTCTTACCTTTGGGGGAAAGAGTCACCTAAGCCATGTTGCAAGGGGTCCTGCTTTCTAAGGATGGGTGGTGCGGTCTGCTGCTCTGCAAGCCAGCAGTTCGAAACTGCCAGCCGTTTCATGGAAGAAAGATGGGTCTTTCTACTCCTGGGAAGAGTTACAGCCTCGGAAACGCCCGGGCAGTTCCGCCTTGCCCTACAGCGTCGCCATGAGTCAGCATCGACTCAATGGCAGTGGGTGCGGGTTGGAGTTTGGTATTTGCAAATAATTCTTCACACAGCTCAAGAGGTAATCCAGTTCTTTCCGATACTTTTGACTTTTCATAGACCAGACCGCGTTCAAGCTGTGAAATGTTGTGCAATAGACAAAGGGGACCTTTTCTTACTATCTTGTTTTCTAAAATGCTTATTCATTTATTTAATATCTTAATTGTTATAACAGCCTACTTATCCAAATCGAGGCTGGATCATAAGCCCCTTGGGAGAAAATCCTTGGTGGACCTTATTAATAGCTGCTGTTCCCGCTCTGCTTTGCACCATCCTCATCTTTATGGACCAGCAGATTACAGCTGTGATCATAAACAGGAAGGAGCACAAGTTGAAGGTAATTCTTAAATAGTTACGGCTCTATCATGACCTCTGCTAGGGGTTGTGGTGGTTTTGCAGTCACTAGAATACTGAAAGCACCAAGATGAAAATTAGTTTGTTCCCTCTTTGTTATCTGCAGAGAGGGTCTCCCTCCTCCACAGTTTGTATAATTTATAACAGTAAGTACACCATTTAAGCATTCACCAACAAGCTAGTAATACAAAATTAAGCAGCACTGCAAGTCATTCTCTCAGGTAAATAAGCCATACTATAATTTCCAAAGCTAGGTGTTAGTCCACGTTTTCATAAATAAATAAACCATACTATAATTATCAAAGCTAGGTGTTAGTCCAAGTGTGTAGGGAAAAAAAGGCGGAACTAATGAGGAAAAAGTTAACACTCACAGTGACCACAGAAAGGAAACCCAAGAGATAGCCCATTGTCTTGCAGACCCTGACGGTCTTTAAATTAAATGAATGTAGCATGCACTATGTTTTTTTTAAAAAAACTGGAAACTCTTCAAGTAATTAAAGACAATGCTTCCAGGCCGTTTGCATAGCTCTTATCTATTTGTTGAAATACTATTAGTGTCAAATGAACACCCATTTGACAAGATAATTCTGAAACAACCCCATGAAACACAAGGGAACTTTTCCATTCCGGATTTAAGCACAAAAATTGGATTAAGTCCACAGAAGTTATGGCCGTCAAATTTTAGATAAAAGCAATGTTTTTAAAGGTCGAGGTGGGGGTGGGGCGGGGAACCACGCACACATTTCCTTTGCTTCTTCTATAGACTGTATTTGTTAGTGCAAGACAGGAAAACGAGCACTTGCCCAGTTTGCTCTGGCCTGGTAAGCTGGTCATCAGAGCATGTGTCAGGCTAGTACTTCCGCTGCCGCATCGTAGGTCGTGTAGAGTTCTCACCTAAAGGAACATGTAGACTGATGAACACCCATGCTCCCTTCTCTTGCAGAAAGGAGCGGGCTATCACCTGGACTTGCTCATGGTTGGTGTTATGCTGGGAGTTTGCTCCGTCATGGGCCTTCCGTGGTTTGTGGCTGCAACAGTGTTATCCATAAGCCATGTCAACAGCTTGAAAGTTGAATCGGAATGTTCTGCTCCAGGAGAACAACCCAAGTTTCTGGGAATCCGTGAACAGCGGGTTACAGGGTTACTAATTTTCGTTCTAATGGGCCTCTCAGTGTTCATGACTTCAGTACTGAAGGTAAAACTTTCTTTATCAACTGTGTTCAAGTATTTTTTATCGTCTAGTTTACACCTCATTGTATGAAGGGGAAACATTAATATCAGCCTAAGTTCCTAGCACTTACTTGGGAAACAATACTTCAAGGTGATTTTAACACGATGTGAAAGGCTGGTATGAAGGGCTGCAGATACTGTTTGGGGGAAGATAGGTCATTGGTAGTTGTCGTCAGCACTAGTAGCTCAGAAGGTTTTGCCTACCTGCTGGAGGAAGCAATGCGGAAAGATGGGGGAAACTCACGCCAAGGAAATCTAAGCATAACGCTGCTGTTAATTGATGCATCCTTCCTCATACACTTAGTGAAATAAAAGTAGTAAGCACTCATTAGGAAAGCTGAAAACAGGTTAGCAGTGAAACACAAGAGAAATGATGTTTGGTTCATCATCTTTAAATCACCTCGGATTTTTCATGAAGCATATTCCACTGAACCTAGGGAGTAAAAATAATAACTATAACCAAAACTAGCATAGCTGTTACATCTCTCCCCCTCATGGGAGAGCTATACCTCGGTCCTTGGCTGTGTAGCAGCCGTTGAGTGCGCGCGCCAGAGCCGCCGCCCTCGTTGAATCAAATTCACCTGGGCTAGGTGGGCCGGTTCAGGTGTAACGCCCACCTAGGTGTACCACCTCATCCTGGCTAGGAACTTGAGCCTAACGTAGCTAAATAATTAATCTGAAAGTTTTAAACACTGGGATTCTTTGGCTTCCTTTCACGGACTTTCTATCTGTGGCTTAATTCACAAACTAGCCTGTTGAGTTCTTCCCAGGCTGGGTACCAGTGGGGCAGCAGTAGTAAACAGGGCTCGTGATGGTCTCCCGTGAAGAACGTGGCAGTCCCGCGGGAGCAACGGGCCAGCACCGAGGCTTAAGTCAGTGCCCTTCCGCGCTAGCCGTCACAGTCCAAGGAAGAGCCTCAAGACCCAGTGCATTTCCTTACTATCTATTCGCATCTCTTCTTGAAGAGTGTCATGCAGGTTCCACCCTCTCTCTCATTCATTCATTCATTCATTGTTGTGGGGTGGGTCAGGATGGGGTATTATTAAAAGAACGCTTAGAATAGGTTTTTGTTTTGTTTTTCTCCTTCACGTATAGCACCATAGACTGTAAAACTCCAGGGTGTTTGTGTGTGTGTGTGTTTCAAAATTTCTTTACCCTTACATAACAGTCAACATATTTTGAGTAATGAACACATACCAGATGGTTTTCTGAATATTTTATGTATTTGAAGTAGTTGAATATTTATGAGAATCTGAGGTGGAAAGTGCAGTGCCCTAGATCTAAGTTTTAAGAACAAGTAGTTTGCACGGTAATACTTTTAAGCAACGAACACCCCTCCTTTTAGGAAGAGAACACAGGATGTTATATTTTCAGTAGCATTTTCTTCATTTATGGAAAAGTTGGGTCGGTCAAGGCCACGTGCAGTTTGATCACCATAGATCGTTCGTGACTGTTTTTTCTGTCATTACTATGACATTATTTCAGGAACGTGAGTTCTAATTTTGCCTTTTCACTTACAGTTTATTCCCATGCCTGTTCTGTATGGTGTTTTCCTTTATATGGGAGTGTCCTCATTGAAAGGCATCCAGGCAAGTCCTAAGTTATTTTATGATTTTGTAGAAAAACTCACAAATACCGGAGGCCTTCTGAAGTTTGTGGGAGGAAATTCCAGTCTTTCCCACAGGCTTTTGGAAGCCCGCTTGTATTTTAAATGTGCAGTGCTGCCTCTTTCCCTGATGGCGTGGTGGGTTACGGTTTGGGATGCTTAATTACAAGCCCAGCGGTTTGAACCCCCGACTGCTCACAAGGAGAGAGAGCGGCCACGGTGTTTGCTCCCATGGGCTAGCTTTCCCAGCTCAGACCTCCAGAGCGGCAGCTGTGCTCTGCCCCAGGGGGTTTCTATGAGACTGGCTGATAGTGTGATTCGTTTGGCTTCTGTGGTACTTTCGAGTGGGCTGGTTTTCGGATTGCTGACTCCCAGTCCTCATTTGCCCCATCATGGTTGCCTGTGACCCTCTCCCCACCTTCCCGGGAGCTCATGGACGGATGTGATCCATACTGATGTTCAGTGAGAGCCAACGAAAAGCCCCGCTGAAGAATAAAAAATACTGGGGTGGGCGAGTGGAAAGGACTGTTTTTCAACACGTAGGGCTACAGTCTCTGTGCTTTCAAAAGAAAACGTAGAGAGCAGTTTCTTCTACAAATAGTTAATACCTGGCATTTATGTGGCACAGTATAGTTCACGCAGCTATAAAGCCTTGACCTAAAACTTTTATTTTTTAATATCCTCAAAATAACACAAGAAAACAGCAAGGGAAGATATCCTCATTTAAAAAATAAAGATGGACCCTACGGAAGGTTATTAGCTAAGTAAGCAATTCAGCCACAGCTAGCACCCAGTGCTTTCATCACTGGATGTTGCCCTATTTAAAATACTTCTGGAAGGTGCTGAGATTGTAGGGCACGGTGAAAACCTCATTTTTGCAACTGAGCCCCTCCTGTTATGGAAGTACGTTGACTGAGGTTGGCAGTTTGTGGCGAATAATGACTTGCGACACTTCTTCAAGGCAATGTCTTTAATTTGTAGCACAGCAAGTCTACGGTTTGCTCTTCACTAATCAAGTGCAATCTCAGTTTGTCCTATCTTGTTTTAAGAATTTGTGAGGTAGACAGAGTGCTGCCCAAAAAGTTGCATAGCATTTCTTTATTTTTGTTGAGAACCTTTTGTTCTCTTCCTATCTGCATACAGTTTTTTGACCGCATAAAATTATTTGGAATGCCTGCTAAGCATCAGCCTGACCTGATATACCTCCGCTACGTGCCCCTCTGGAAGGTCCATATTTTCACAGTTATTCAGCTCACTTGCCTGGTTCTTCTGTGGGTGATAAAGGCATCGTCTGCTGCAGTGGTCTTCCCCATGATGGTAAGTTTAATTGTCCCTTCTGTTTTACGAGACACGCTTTGCCCTTTAATGATAATATTTTATGAGTGTTGATACTGCTTTTAAAATTAACATTTACAATTGACTTTGAAAAAAAGCCAACAGCCCCAAACCTATTTTTAACACCTTTGTTGTGTGAAATTAGAAATTGATTCATTCTAGCTAAAGACCACTGTAGTTATTTTGCAATTTTGGTGTTTTTCATCTTTGGGATACATAAGTAGAACTTTGTCTTGGGTTTTTAAACAACTTCAGAGTTTAAGAAGCTTATGGAACTAGCATGAAAGCCAAATAAATGTAAACACCAGAACATCCAGAATACCACATGGCTCTTTCACTGGGTGCTGTAATACCTCTTTGTTGGGATTTTCCAGATCTAGATGTTAAAAAGTTGTCAAGACTTTCCATGATTTTAGTAACTCAATCAACTGAATTCGTTAAGTAAGCACAGAATATTATACTTCCCAAATAGAGTGTAAACACTCTTTTGTAAATTTCATATAGACAATGGTCACGTACAAAGAAAAATATTAAAAATAAAATGTCACATATAGCGTCTAGGTGGCATACTCCCTACTCATAATTAAATTAAAAAACGATGGGGACAAATAAAACCTCAAATAATTTTAAGTTTTGGGAAATTAAACACTGGTGTAAATAATCCCTGGATAGAAAACTGAGTTCAAAAACCATTTGGAGATAAGGAAAGAAACCTTTGCAACAATGTCTATCTATAGGAAGGCATATAAAATTACGGAAAAGAATACCTTTTGTGTCTTTATTATTCATGCCTTAAATGCAACCTAAGTTTTTTTATTTGTAAAGACTGATAAGGGATTAACCCTTCCCAAGCCTGAGCACAGAAGAAAATAAAAGAGGGAATCGTATGGAAGATAGACGAAAAGCTTTAAAAAATATTATATGTACTTCTAGCAATAAATTTGAACAACTAGAACTGGGGAGAGGTAGGGTCAACATTTACCCATCCCTCCCCACTCCCCGGTAAAGGATCAAATGGCAGTACGTGTATTAGGTTTTGTGGGTCATGAGGAAACACTAATGTCCATTAGTTTTTTATTGATCCGATCTTCAAAAAGTAACTATACAACTTCTTAAAATCAAAGTCTGTTAATGAGAAGAAAGAAATTCTATCTACTTGGGGTAGAGTTGCAATTAATGGGGAGTTAAATATCAATTATTGCTCCTGGTCATCAAATCCCTTTCAAAGATTCATTTGTCAAAACCATTCTTAGCTCATAGCCTCTGTGGAGCAGGTGACGGCGGGATTTGGACGAGTGGCTGCGGCTTGTCAACTGTAATCCTGAGGGAATGAATTGTTACCACACTACCTACATATAATGTGTAAGGTGATCCCTAGGGGACGTATGGAACCTAGGTAAAATTCAGAACTGGAACAGTAGTTTAAAATCTACCCTTGAAAACATTAACCAGGCTCAGATGGATTAACAGCAATTTTCTTCTTTATTATTTTAGCTTGTATAGCCATTCTGTTTCTCCAAAACCTTAAGATTGGTTAATCGGAGCCCAGTAAAGTTTTATTTCTTGTGGTGAATCTGAATAGCCTTGCAGTAATTTACTTTATACCTACTGACTGCAACACACTAGGAATAAGAATAATGGAATAAGAGGGCTTCAAAATGTGTGGGGAAATATAATGAAAAGACCTGGGTATTTTTCCATAAGCTTTAAAGCCCTGTTGAAGGGTCTCTATTCTTAATGATTACAAAGGCATCAGTCTCTTTTTCCTGCTGTGGAGTCGACCGGTGCATTGTAAACACCAGTGTGTGCTGAGCGTTTTTGTTTTTTTTTGTTAGTTCCCTAGCATTAGCCTTAAGACATAGGTATCAGAACTTTAGCCAGAAATATTCTAAAATGTAAGAGTCGTTTCTTCTGTACAGTGAAACCTGTACAGAGAGTCAGAAGCTGTTTGTCCAGGTTGTGAAAATTTCTTGCCTGTGGCAGGATGTACGTTTCTATCTACTTAAAGTTAAAATGGGGGAAAAAATTCTCAGGTTTTCCTAATATTTTTTGATGCTTAATGTTCTTTCGCATAATCTCAATGCATGTATTTTTACATACCAGGCCGAGGGTAAAGCTTTCCGTGTTCTACCGCTGGAATGTGGGGCTTGGAGTCATAAGTATACTTCTTTCTCTTCATTTCTTGCCTCAAAAATAGTAAAATTGATAGGAAGGGCTTTTTAAAAAGATTACTTATATAATATATAATGTAAAGCCATTCTCAAAATTCCTAACTTTATTTTACCGTGATGATTCCCAGTTTGCACAACTTACTGTATAATTATATGCAGAAAGCAAAGTGTTTATTCAGAAAAGGGCTACTTAGGAAGCCTCTTTCCATTTTAATTCCTTGATAACTATCATTTGAGAAGAAAGTTCAAGAGGACAAGAAGGTGACCCAGTTCTTTTAAGATGGTGTATGCAAACATTTCTCAGCAAATTATATGAGTGACTTTCACATTATTTGTAATTAATACATATTTTATATTCTCTTTAAGTGACCTCTTTTGGATGTTGTTAATACTTCCTTGCCCATTTTTTAAAGGTTCTTGCATTAGTCTTTGTGCGCAAACTTATGGACCTGTGCTTCACAAAGAGAGAACTTAGCTGGCTTGATGATCTAATGCCAGAAAGTAAGAAAAAGAAAGAAGATGACAAGAAGAAAAAAGAGAAAGAGGTAACAGTCGAGAAATTCACATTGGCAGCATTGACTGGGTCAATATTTTGTACCATCTGGCAGGTATTCTAATCACTTTAAATAGGTTAACTTCTTTCATCGTCACAAGAACCTTGTTATGAATTGTAGATTGAAGAAATGGCGTGGGGGCCACCTTTCACCTCCTCTAGGTACACATGGGAGAAGGTGACTCCGACTGCATTTTCCCTGGATCAGTCTGATGAGGCAGAGGGGTTGGACATGCCGCCACCCTCCCACCTTCTTAACTCTATGCTGACACCGCTGCCCTTCGGGTGGCACTCTGTCTCTGTGCTGCCTTTAATGAGCCATTGCAATGACACCACCTAGATAGGACTCACGGACAATACCCATAACTATGGCGGCGGTTTATTAGGGAAGTTAACAGGTCACATCAGGATCAGAAATGTAAAGAAACCAGTTATTTTGTCTGCAGTGCTGCTTCTCAGTTGTGCCTTACATGCTTCCCTTGTGCCTCTTCTCACTTGCTGTTCTTAGAGTTCTATTTCTGCTTCGGGTGGCTCACTTTATAGCCAGTAGAATGGCAAAACCAACCAGCCCCCTGTTTAGACTTGAACGTAGCCTGTTTGCATGCTCCCACCTAGTCATTTGGTGGTTGTTAGAAAGACTAGGGATAAACAGGCCAGAGCAAGTAATCTCACATTATTACATGGTTGCTATTGTTGTGCCGTCCCTGGAGAAGGATATCATGCTTGGTAAAGGGGAGGGGCAATGAAGGGAGAGTCCGGCCCTCTCCGAGGTGGATTGACAGTGTGGCTGTAACAATGGGCTCGGGCACAAGAACAGTTGTATGGATGGGTAGGGCAATGCAGCGATTCTCTTGTGCATAGAATTGCCATGACTTGTAGCTGACTCGATGGCACTTAACCATAGCACTTGCTGTGCCCACTTTACGAATAAGGAAACTGAGGAAGAGAGGTTAAGTAATGGTGCAAACCTTGCCTCTTAGCCATTTCACTGTCCTGCTTCTCTATTGTCTTGACATAGGAATATTATTTTGAAATGATACATCACGTGTACTTACCAACAGATGTATTTGAGTCTTTAAAAAAAATTCTTCATCCTAATCCATCATCTAATTTTACCTACCATGCATGAGGACATTTTTTGTACATTTTGATTTTTAAATGAATTTATAATAATCAGACATCCTTAATGATGAAAAGAACCTTACATCTTTTTACAAAAAATGTTGTGCCATTTGAATCTTTATATGTAATTAAGTCTATCAATCAGTTGATTTGTATACTGAGATTCAACATTATTTCTTTAGTTTCAGATGCTGTTTTGTTTTTGATATTGAACTCAGTGCCATCACTGTTTGCAGGGCACGATTGTGTTGATTTTATTGCCTTGCTCAGTTTTCCCATTCAAAATAATGCTTGGAGATCAAAGATCAGAAAGATTTACTTTCAAGTTTGATAATTTTAAAGATAGATATTGAAATTCCTGGCTTTATATTTTTCACGAAAATTATGGCTTTTATTTAGAAGATTAACTTGAATTGAGATGCTAATATTTAACAGGTTCTATTTTTTCTAAACTTTTATATATGTAAATACTTATGGGCTTTTATGATTTTTCAAATGGGTGCCACTATCTTATAGGGGGTATAAAGTATTTATGACACATTTAGAGGTATAATTACCTGTTGATTACTTATCAGTTAGATTGAGGTTCAGTGTCAACAGGGGTAAAAAGGAGGTGGGGAAAACACAGGGACTCATTTTATTCTCTCATACAAAAAAATTTGGAAGGAAATGAAGTGTGAGGTACCCTATGGGCCAAGATGACTGCTGAATGCCAAGTGTTCGTGATCATTGAAGGTATTAAAGACGGGAGGAGGTGGGAGAAGGCAGTAGAGAGGTCTCTACCCAGTGGTCCTTTTTGCAGTCTTCCCCCAGGTGTCCTTCACTAATAAATGTTATGTGTCCCACATGGCCACACGGGGTTGCTATGGACACTAGGACATTTAGAGAGGATCCTACTTCTCTTTTCCCTAGCTGCACCCACCGCACCTCAGAAGAACGAGAGTCCCGTCAGTAAGAATGTAGAGTGAGCGCCGTCTCTCCCTTTCTCACTGTGATGTCGTGGTTTTGGTCTGTCCACTGTCTGGTCTCCCCTCCCAAAGTGAAGTTTTGCAATGTCACCCTGACTTGGATGTTATGCCTGTCTTGCAGCGAGTGGAGGCCAGGAGTGTTGGTGGTGAACGTTCTAGGTGCGTGCCTTCCAGGCTCCTCCAATCAGCATTTATCTGGTCTTTAAATGTCAGGTGCCGAGGTTGAGAAACCCAGCTTTATCCAAAGGGGCTACTCCCTGTATTGCATTATGATGAAAGACAAAGTGGTATCTCTCATTAAATGCCTACATTACAGTTGAGAGTCAGATTTACTGATGTGTCTAAACTGCTCTTTAAATGAAAAAAAGTAAAATATGATTGACTTATAGAGGTGACAAGTATACAATTAAACATTACCCTGTACAGTGATTGTGCCACTGGCATGTGTTCATAGTAAAGTGAGTTAGTCGGTCCTAGGCAGATGTGCTCTCGTTAAATAATGTGTGGTTTCTAAGACACTACGTATTAATTGATCTGCATGAAGAGATTCTGAGGAAAGTAATCATTTTGCATACGTGCCCTAAAGGAAGCTGAACGGATGCTCCAGGCCGAAGAGAGTGATACCGTGCACCTTCCATTTGAAGGAGGAAGTCTCTTGCAAATTCCAGTTAAGGCCCTAAATTATAGGTGAGATGCTATTTTATTTTTTTAAAGAAACCAAATAACAAAAGTATCTTATGTATATGTCAACAGCATATGGAAACTATTGTTGTTTCGTTAGTGACATCTGTTTTTTAAAGATGATAAAATATCTATTTGGTATGCCCACTAGAGTTGAGTTCTCAGGTTCCAAAGCAGTGCCAAACGCTTTCCTGACCTGCGTTGCAGGCAGGCGTGAAGGAAATCGCTGGACTTGGACCAGATCCTTCGACTCCCTTTCATGTCGAGCCTGTGACATTTACTTTTAGTCCTTTGCTCCCCCTGTCTCTGTGACCCTTTCGACCATTACACTTCTCTCAATAAAACTCACTGCGATCAAGTCAATGCTGGCTCATCGCGACTCTCCTTCTCAGACTGTTAGGGATACAAAGCCCAGCCTTTCCCCGTTAGAGCTGATGCCCAATAGTATTGCTTTTTCCTTCCTCCCTTCCTTCGGGCTGAGGTTAGTATGTGCTTGAAAAGAAGCACTTCGAAAAATGAGGACCTAATGTCGGGGGTTTAAATGGAGAGAAAATGTTTTGAGAAATGATGTACAAATACGCTTTACACAATTGATGTGTGTATGGATTGGGATAACAGTTGTATGAGCCCCTAATAAAATGTTTAATTAAAAAAAATAAATAAATAAATAAAAAAAAAACCAACTTTGAAAAAAAAAAAAAGAAAAGAAGCACTTCTATCCTTTGTCTGATAACTTTCCCATGTGTAGTATGTTCAGAGGCTCTCTAATGATGGTGACTTCCAGACGTGAGCTTTTTCACGATTGAATGTAAGGGCTCATGTTAAGGAAACATTATTAGTATGTATGATTTGGTATTTTATATTCACATGTAATGATGAAAGCTGAAGATTAGATACACGTTTTACTATTGTAAAGTAGGGGAGGGAGGAAAGACCTGTATTTTTATTGATGAGTTTCTTTTCCAACCAGTCTCAATGAAAGGTGTGTTGATGTCAACTTGCATCCAGCTTAAGAAAAGAATCTACTCTTTATAGTTTTTACTGAGGTTGCACTTGCGCATATATATGTTTTAGTTCAGATAAATTAATTTAAGTGTTTTCTCTTGGACTTTTTGCTTTTAATTTTGATGATTAATACTCGTCTGAGTCACTGTCCGTACTTTTTACCTCCAATCTTTGTATGTTGTATGCTCTTGGGGCACATTTTGACTCATAGTGATCCACTGTGGCAGAGCAGAACTGCCCCAGAAAGCTTGTCTGGTCGGGAGGGGGAAAAAGGAAAATGAGCTGATTCCGGGAACCCAAGAGGAAAGCGAATTTTGGGAATGATGAGGGCAACAAATGTGTAGGTGTGCTTTACACAATTGATCTATGTATTGTGATGAATTGTATGAGCCCCAATAAATTGATTAAAAAATACAATTAAAGGGTTAATATGTATGCTATGTGAAATAAATGCCAATAAACTTCAAAAACCAAAAAAAGAAAAAAAAGCTTGGCTGGTCTGTAATCTTCACAGGAATACTCCACCAGGTCGTTTCTTCAGTGGAGCAGCTGGTGGATCTTTGGGTTGGCAGTTGAGTGCTCAAGTCCTGTACCACTAGGGCTGTCTCATACCACACGTCTGGATTTTAAGATAGCCAGCACTAAAGGGCTCTGCTCTGCCCAGCACTGTAAATGTGGATTTGAGTGATTTATGTTAACCACTGAAGTTGTGCTTCTGCCAAGAGCATGGGAACTGTCGTGCTGCCTTGGTGACTCACCAGTTTGTGGATATCACTTGTCACTTCATTTCTGTCTTGCCTTCTCACTTTCTCAGTGTGGTTACGCACGGGCTCTGACAAACTGAAGGCGGGAGTCTGTACGTGAGACTTAACACAAAGTGATGGGTTGTCTGTCTTCTTGAGAGATGACACGAGCTATTATGAGTGCTGCTTTGCTAAAAACAGTTTCAGTGTGAGGAATGCTTAGAAATCTGCAGACCTGTTTATTCCCAGAATTAAAAATTTTACATAGCTTTGGATTGCTTCCTGTGAAGATCCGTGAACTAAAACGTGGAAGCCTTGGAACTTTAGAAAGCCCTGTTGAGTATGAAAACAGCTTACTTAATGCGGGCAAAGTTTTTGGGGGAAGTGGATGCATGCCTTTTTAAAGGAAAGCCTCAATTTCTACTGGTAGGAGCATTCCTATTTAGAAGCCGACCACCAGGAGCTAAGACCCTTGAGGACTTCCTTTCTGCAGTTACCTGAGGTTGGCAGCCAAGCAAATAGCTGCGTACTTGGGGTTGGCAGCAGTTCCAGTGAGAAGCCGGGCCATTTCTGAACCTGGACACCTTTTTTTTTTTTTTTTAAATGATTTTATTGGGGCTCATACAACTCTTATCACAATCCATACATATGTCAGTTGTGTAAAGCACACTCATACATTCGTTACCCTCATCATTCTCAAAACATTTGCTTTCCGCTTGGGCTCTTGGAATCAGCTCCTCATTTAAAAAATTTTTCCCCCTCCCTCCCTGCTTCCCCCTCCCTCATGAACCCTTGATAATTTATAAATTATTATTTTATCATGTCTTACACTGCCTGATGTCTCCCTTCACCCACTTTTCTGTTGTCCATCCCCCAGGGAGGAGGTTATATGTAGATCCTTGTAATCGGTTCCCCTTTATACCCTACCTTCCCTCCACCCTCCTGGTATCGCCACTCTCTCCATTGGACCTGAGGGGTTCATCAGTCCTGGATTCCCTGTGTTTACAGTTCCTATCTGCGCCAGTGTACATCTTCTGGCCTAACCAGGTTTGTAAGGTAGAATTGGGATCATGATGGGTGGAGGGGCGAGGAAGCGTTTAAGGAACCTGGACATGTACAAAAACGGACTTGGGTTTTCTTTTGACTACTCGGTGACGACGTCCACCGTATCTGCAATCCGATGGAGAGTCAGCACTCTCGAGATGACCGCCACCCTCTTGTTCATGTCCCACCTGTTGGAGCATCGGTGTTTGTCACTTGTGTGAAGTATTTTCCCTTGGTGAAGAATTGGCTTGCAAAACTCTCTACATTAATTTCATGCTGCTTTGATATTACATGTGACTGACAACCTTGAGCACAAAATTAAATTCATGCATACCATCGTTGGCTTTGGGTTTTTGAAGTAACGGTGGGGATATATCATAGGGATCGAGAGATGTTTGTCCCTCATGGGAATAAAAGGACAGTTTTCTGGGCTGTTAATTTTGGTAAACTCAAAGTAGCACCTCGACACTAAAAAATGCTCATGCCAGCTAAAAGTAGGATTTTATATTGATGTGTTAGCTGTTGAAAATGTTCTGGGTTTTGTTTTCAACTCTAAAGTATACTTTTTCAACTCTACTGCAAAAATGATGAAAACGAAAGTGGCTGTATTTCCCCCCCCCCCCTATCATCTTAATGTCCCTTATCTACTTGGGATATTTATTTGGTGAGATTGGCATTTGTGTTATAAACATTTTGGGGGTTGTGGTAAGCTTGCACCTTTTTTATGTGTATAAGCACCTTAGTATATTCTTTCATATTATTTCAGCAATGTTCTTTACTATGTAATAGCCAAGGTCTTTGGTCATCATGGCTACAGAAATACTGTGGAACCTCAAATTATATTCTGAAGATTAGTTACATAAATACATTTTGCTTATTTAAATAATCCTCTTGGTTTTGCTGATAAAGTTTCCTGTGAAGTCTTTGTAAACACATGCCACGGTTCTGGTACTTTGCTCAGCCTTGTTGGTAAATGCTTGGCAAGAGTTGTATTTTAAGTTGATGAGCACAAGTGTTAAATAAATAATTCGAATGGCAGTATTAATGCTTAAGCAAGTACTGAATACTAACCAAAAAGTGTGTTTGTTCTTCAGTGTCGATCCCTCAGTTGTTAATATCTCAGATGAAATGGCCAAAACGGCACAGTGGAAGGCACTGTCCGCGAGCACTGAAAATGCCAAAGTAACCGGCTCTACCACGAGGTAGCTATACCCACTTAGACCTTTGTAACCGTATTCCCGCTTTCAGATGTCTTTAAGAAACTAAAAGTAAAACTAACCTATCTAAACCTAATGGATTTCTTCTCTGCCTGACAAAAACCAGTCTGCCTTTCCTTCCTCCCTTTCCTTTCCGGGCATCCATGCATTCATCATTTTACTACCTACGAACATAATTATGGCAGTAAATCAGCTGGCACGTTATCTGTGTTTTTAATTTATACTCTGCCCATTGTCTACTCTAAAGAAAGGATTTGAGACATTTTATGATAATTATGAACACACACAATATCATGAAATGAATATGTACAACATTGGAAACCATATGAAGAAAGATACCTACCAGGGATAAATAGTTTCGCTGAACACTAAGCTCAAATTCTTTCTCTGATAGTTGAAGAAAAGCATTTTCCCTTCTCAAGTGTGTGTGTGTGTGTGTGTGTGTGTGTGTGTGTGTGTGTGTGTGTCGGGGAGGGGGGTATGTCTAGCATACCATTTCTTCAAATGTTGAACATAGATTTTTCTCGAAGATATTTCTGGCAGAAATTGAATCCATGTATGTAAAGACCGTCACTGGATCATGCATTGAAACTATTATGCAAGTTCTTGTTTTGTAACTCTTAACATTAAACAAAGATTTTTTTTCATCCCTGGCCCTCACTTTGAAGCCTGAGCTCTTGAATCTCCCTCCATGATCATCTGTACTCCGTTCATGGGCTTCTTGAGAATTGAGACAGTGCCCGGTAGCATGTTCAGAAGCTCACATTCAACAAACACGTAGTAATTCAAAGGAACACCGATTTGGTGTGCGCCTTGTACCAGACACTGCTGGGCGCCTGTGTATTGTGCTTGTGTGTCAGGTGAAAAGAGCATTTGGACAGACAGTTATGCTACTGCCCATGGCTGCCTGCTGTCTTTCTGAGTGCTGTCGTTCGGTAACTGTTGATCAGCTCCCCCGCCCCCGGCCTTTCTCCACTCCCTTTTAGAGCCCTTTGCCTGTTTCGCCTGCATCCACTTTCATTTTCTCTCATTATCATTCGAGTTTGGCTTCTCTGAGCTGGGCTGCTTCTTTATGGTATCTTTGCTCTTCCTTATCTATTTTTTTGATTAGGCTTTGCCATTTCTGCATTCCACACAACCCAAATCTCACTAACTGTTCTTTTTTAAGTTAGTAATTTTTCTCACCTTTTCGTCCCCCGCTCTCTGGGATCGTTAAAAGAATAAAGACATTGCAATAATGCCATCATGTGGAGTGAGGGACCCTTGAGGCCATGTCATTTCATAGAAAAGTGTTAGAAGAATCTTCCTTCAACTTTCCCTGGAGGAGGCAGCGAATAGGCATATATTGCACTTTATGAAAAATTCCCCCCCAATATCCAGAGATTCACTCGTGACATCAAATTAGCTCACACAAACGAAGTCATTTATGCTTTAAATTAACCTGAAAGTGCAGCATAAGTGTTGGTTGTGAATTTGTCAACCAGATGATAGGGAAAGGTATTTCATAAGTTTGTTACCTTTTCCAGGATATTGTTTGATACCTGTATCTATTTGTCAGTAAAATAAAAGTCAAATGCTGTGCTTGTCTTCACGCATTCAGTTAAGATTAGTAATATTCACCAGTTTTAAGGAGCTCCCCCTTCAGTTGTAAGACGACTAGGGATTTCAATCATAAACACTTCCATTAAAAAACCTCGTAGAAGCATTTTCATATTTGGCCTTCCAATTAAGTTTACTGGTATAAAAAGAAGAGAGAAAAACAGTAATAAAAACTTTATAATGTGAATAGTCATCTCAAAAAGCTTATTATAGATGCTAGCCATGTTTATAATTTTAAATGTTCATTTTGAAATCATTTTCTTCACCTTTTGTTTGTTTTGAATAGCCCTGAAAGACCTGTGAGTGTGAAAATAAATTTTGAAGATGAGCCAACCAAGAGCTACTTGGATGCTGAGACGTCATTGTAGAATTGACCCAAGAAGAATTATATATATGTGTATTTGTATACTTCCTGTGTGTATATGTGTGTTTAATGCACTGTACCTGATGATATTGTAGCCCTGGCCATGTGTGCGTCACTAGTGGCTATTGTGAAGTAGTGTGTGAAGTTTATGAGCACCGGGGAGACTGTATAGATAATGAAATGGTCTCTCACAAGTGAGGTACATGATTTCTGCAATTCAAATATTTATTCTGCTGGATTTTGTTCTCTTTTTCTGCAATAGAAGGATGTGGGGAGGTACATTCAATCTACCTTTTTTATCTGTTCATGACAATTCATATCAACTTTTAGTGATATTTATAATAATTTTTATATGTGAGTTTTAACTTGTTTCTGAAAATTTTTGTCTATCGCTTCAGCTAATGCTTTACAGGAAGAACAGGGGATCTTTATGCCAGTGCTGTGGGACACATGGTAACATGCCGCGGCTTGTGCGTGTGCCTGTCATTCACGTATCTGTCCATCGTGTTTCACAGGCAGTGGAGTTTGGTTTTGGCCATAGAGGTGAAGGTCGGCAAGAGAATAGGACCTTCCTAGATAAAGAACTATGGATTTGACCTTTATTTTGAAAAAGGTTTCTGAATCTCCCCCGAACCTCCAGATTTAGTTTCTCTTCTAAAAGATAAGTAGAATTGCTAAATTTATGATTTAGCCTCCATATTTTATGGATTTAATCCCCATAACCATATGACTTTTTGAAGCTAGACCATGCCAATTTTCCATAGTTAAATTTTGTTTCCTGTGTTGATTTGTTTCCCTTGAATTCGTTAGTCGTTCCCAGAATGCCCACTTTATTCTCTGCCTTTCCTTTTACTGTAAATAATTTAGTTTGTATCAAGTTCAAGTCCTTGATTATTTTCTCGTATAAGTAGTGTGAGCAGATAATCAGGAGTCAGGATTCTCTCATGGGTTTGTGATCAGTATTAATTTATGCTCCTCAGAATTACCCTTCACTTCCGGTTGACATTGCTATTCTTTCTATTGTACAGAATATATTTAATAGTTACTTGCCCATGATTATATTTTAAAATATTTTATTTATTTTAATTGATAGGGATGCTAAAGACTATATAACAATTTGATAAGGTAACAGTACATTGTTATGTAAATAGTTGGTGCTCACAGCATTTATGATTTATTATCTGGACGCAGTAGATAGATTTTCTGCCTTTGATACCGAGTACTGCCGTCTTTGCATTTTAAGAAGAAAGTGGACATTTTCTGTGTCAGCCGAGATTGATGACACTCTTCCTGCTTTGTTTCAGTTATCTGTGCTCTTCCTTTCTGTTTTTCTGGGCTGTCTCTCTAACTTTCAGCGGACCTTTTTTAGTGGTGTCTAGACACTCTTAGCTCCACAGGAAGTGCATTGCGTTCTTGCTGCCTGTGGGACGGACGGAGGGAGATGGCAAACTGATTTGGCAAGAGAATAACTTGCAGGAACCAAATGAGTATTGAGAATCCCCAGAAACAGACACCGATGACAGGAATGTTAAGGTGAAGATTTTAATTCAATGCCAGTCTTCCCTTCCACAGCCATAACAAATTGATCTTAGAGAATCACCGAGAAAGCCAAAAGCTGATCTTTTTTGCAGTTCTGAAGTGTTTGGTTAATCCATTCCAATCTATGTTTTGACCCATTTCATGTCCTCAACTAAGGTGTTATTGCCAGATTCTCGTTAACAAAACGGTTTCAAATTCTGCCTCACCGAAGAGGTTGGAAATGTAGCTGCGTTTCTTGAGAAACTACAACTGGCGTTATTTAGCCGCGCCTGAAAGAGACTAGTATTCTCCGTGGTGCTTCCCCATTGTTTGTGCGCTTCCACAGAACGGATTCCTCTGACGTAGAGCAGCATCATCATTCCCAGAGACCCCAGGATTCGCTGCTATTTTTAACAGCCTCCATGTACCTGAGAGCAAGAGATTTCCTCACGTCATTTCCTTGGGTCTGGACACCAAAGGGTTAACACATTGTATACTTATTTTACAGGAAGTGATTTTAAAATATAAATGGAAAACTACCAGGGATCATAGTGTTTCTGTGATTTTTATTTAATTATGTATAGTAATTATGCAGTGCCAGAAAAACCGTGACTTGTAAAATAGTTTGCACACAAAATGTTTTTTTCACCCACAAGTTTCTACTTATTACTGGCTTCTACTTCCTTGTGACTACTTGATTTTACTGTGTGATCTGATCTGACTACTTCATTGAAGAGCAAAGGTCACTCATGGTTAAGTCATTTACTGCTTGTTTTACATGATGATACTTCTCCCACTGTTTAAAAAATGATCATGGTTAACATTCATTGCAAGACAGTGAAGAATATAATTTGCAACATAACGTTGGATTTTAGATATTGCCTTAAATGGGTATAGATGTGCAGTAGTAATTGCTCTATACTGATTTACCTCAAGGTGCAAAAGAACGGAACCTGTACATACTCCATTTTCAAATGAAATCCAGTGAACAGCCCTGCGCTTTCTTAGATGCCTTGGTTTCCAGGGGTGGAGCTTCGTGCTACTGAACACCTGCCCTGGCCACAGAGCCACCTCAGGGTAGTCTTCTCTCCGCCCTTTTTAATTTATTTATAGATGTCTGTTTACATAGACTATAATGGGTCCTGATGTTGACCATCTGAACTTTGCTTTCTTCTGAATGCTGTTTCACTCTAAAATAACAACTTAAAAAAATGTAAAACAGTGAACTAGCTTCATTGTGGTAAAAGGATGATTCTACATATTCTTTCATAATCAGAAATGCAGACGTGAAGCACAGTGTCTTTCTGATGAACGTGTGTGTGATGTTCTTGATCAGTTTTTAGAATCAGCTGTGTGTGTGTGCGCGCGCGTGTGATGTTGATCAGTTTTTAGAATCAGCTGCGGCACACCAGTGTTCCTGTTTGCCAAGTCTTCTGTAAGATGTGTAGAACAGAATTCTGTGTGTGCTGATGCCTGTAGTTACAAAGTTATCGAGCAGCTTTCTTGACCACTTAAAAGTAGTAACTTTTTCCCTCCATCCAAACATACATTTATTTTCCTTCCTTATATGCGGATCGTAGCTTTCTTTTTTTTCCCTTCTCACAAAGCAGGTTCCAAATTCTGTAAAAAACAAAAATGGTTTCTGAAACAGATGCAGCACCAGTTTTCTGTGGAAAGGGTTCTATCACGTGTATCAGTTAGGTAAGCGTGCTCAGCAGTGTAACCAGTGGGGGGATCCTGTTTTTAACTGCGCAGACTTAGGAGGTGTAAGCCATCGACAGAACATTGTAATTCACAAATGATTCTATTGAAAGACAATGTCTGAAATTTATTTATGTAGACCAGATCATTGTTATACAGTACCAATATGTGAAATGTCTTTTAGTCTAGACCAGCAATTATTTATTTCTTAGAAAGTAAATTGAAAGACTTCCAGGACATTCAAAGTTTGAATAGTGTTAAAAATGTAAAAACCTGGTAATTTTAATGTAAACTACTCTTTGCTAATCTTTCAAAAATAAAATGTCAATGATAGGAAAACGTAGTTGGAGATAGAATCATCTTAAGATTATTTTTTAATTAGCATAAATTGATTTCTACAGCTGGCTTCAAGTAATTGTTTAACCATTTTTTATTTTAAATCAGAAAAATCAAAAATGAGATTTGGTTTGTTTTTGTTGTAGCTTTTCTTTTGTTGTTTTATTCACGGATTTTTTGTTTTGGTTGGAGGGTGGGGGGACCAGGGAGATGTGATTTGTTTCCATTGTTTACTGTGTTTAAATAAACAGATGGAATTTTATTGTTCCTTTATATAATATTTGATAACATGAGATGTAATTTCAAAGTACAGTTCCAATTTTTATGACTTTTATAGTTATAATTGTAATATTTTTTTTGTAATAAAATCCAAAGTAAATTAAACATTTTAAATGGAGAATTAATATTTTTCATTTATATGAAGTACAAGTCTCTAACAAGTGTATGATGTGAATGACCCTGCCATTCAAATTTGTTTCATAATTGTTAGATGAAAACTATTTTTTGGAATGTTACTGAAGTTGAGAGAGCAATAAAAGTCTACTGAATCAATTGTGAGTTTCGTTTAGTTTGTATTTGCACTAGTAGCAGAGCTATATATCTTCCGTAACTTGAGGGGTTATAGAAGAGAATGGAAAATGAGTGATTCATTCATTTTTCCTGCCAAAGAAGATGAACTAGAATAGTGGGATATTTGCAATTACTTTGATAGTTAAGAAATATTCAGATTAAAACCATCTACAAAGTGTCTGATCCTTTATTTCCCTTTTATGTAGACATTTGGTGTCATGAGAACTTCATTTCAGGATAGTAACAGAACAGTGATGTTACCTGAAGACCCACTGCAGTGGAGTCGTAGTGAATGGCATCCTCCAGGGTGATTTCGGCTGTAAAATCTGTATGGGACCATATACCCTCATCTTTTCCCTGTGAAGCAGCTGGTGGGTTTGATTGTTTGCTTTTAGCACTGCAATACTTAGCCTATCGCTCTACCAGAGCTCCTAGAATGGTTTTAGGAAATATCAAAAGGGAGTGTTAGACACTGTTCTGGTCAGGACCACAGTCCTACATGGAATGGGAGAAAAAACAGGAGAACTCAAAGTGTTAGTTGAAAAACTAAGCACAGACATTCTAGAATAGTAGATAACAGAGGGCACCCCTGAGGCTTGCTCAGAGACACCCTGAAAACCAAGAACTAAGCCTATCCCCTGAAGTCACATTTTGGTGAAATAATAGCGTGGCACACAAAATAGAGGATATCATTGCCAGGAGTTCATTCGGTTCCCTACTTAAAAACCAACACAAAGAGACCAGAAAGTTGCTTCTTAAATGCAAAGAGAAGGACAGGAAACGAATACTAGGAGGTTTGCTTCTGCCAGTTACATTAGGCCCTAACACGGAAGATACAAGCTTTGTGCAAGCACTGCCGCACCCAGGATGTAACGCCTTTTACATCCACATTGCAAAGTGCACCATGCCTTTTACATCCACATTGCAAAGTGCACCATGCAAACAAATGGAGATGGCAGTGTGCCTGTCTTGTAGATGCTAGTTTCTTTCATGCCTATTAGCCTTCTGCACAATTAGGAAATTCTTAGATGTACACACAGTTTTATAAATGTCAGAACAGGTCTTATTGAGAAGTGGTAAGGTGGGAAATATATTTCTGAATTCAGTATAAAGTTCATTGGATCATTTGGTTCCACTGTTCAGTATTTAAAGTGTGTGTGTGTGTAGACTACTGTCTGCACGGAATGTCTTCCCACCCTTGACACCTTTGTTGATTGGTTACTCATTCTGCTGAATTTTTGTTCCCTGAAGTTGAATTAGTTATGTTCTAAGCTTGTGAGTTTCACTCTTGCTTCTGCTTTTTACATTTTCACTATAGAACTTGAGCATTTTAATTTTTAAGGTGTTTTTTTTTACTGAAACTTAAGTAGTATTCCATTAAGTTATTCAAATCAAAGAAGCATTACATAAAGGTACACTTTAGTCATTTTGAGTCAAGTTTAGAAAGTTGAGTCTACTATCAAGATGGGATTTATTAGGGCTGTAGTCTTGCAGAAAATGTCAAGGGAGATCCACAAGGTCGAGACTGAGCTTCAGAGTCAAATTGTCCTACCTTCTTTGCCACCTTGTGTGACTTCACACATTTCATGTGCCTCAATGTTGGAAATCTAACCAACAGGTGAAATTATTTTGACAGTAAATGAAGAAAGTTTAGGATAGTGCCAAGTACAAAATGAACAATCAGTGTATGCTCTTAATTTTTCAAAAAGAAATGTGAAAGTTAAACATCTTTTAAATAACGTCAAGTCTCTTCTTAACCCTCCATGCAATGTTTTTTTCTCTCAGAAGCCTCAGGCTTTCACAAAAGATTAAGTGACTCGCACAAGGCCCAAACATGAATTTGTTAACGGGGGAGGAGTGGGGCTGTGTATATCAGAGCTGTATTTTTCACCACACAATCTGTATGTGAGCAGATAATGAGAAGCTGAACTATGAAGACCTCAGGCATCAGGAAGAAGGCTTATTAACTATGAATGTGCAGATGACAGCCTTGCTTGATGAAAGCAAGGAGGACTGGAAGCACTTGCTGATGAATGACATCAAGCACTTCAGCCTTCAGTCTGGATTACATCTCCATGCAAAGACTCAGATCCTCACAATTGGACCAATAGATAACATTGTAATTACTAGAGTGAAGAAGTTGTAGGGAGTTCATTTTAAGAAATCAAAAGGCATGGCATTGGGCAAATCTGAACAAGACTTATTTAAAGTGTTGAAGAGCACAGATGGCACTTTGAGGCCCAAGACGCACCTAGCCCAAGCCATGGTATCTTCATCTGCCTCATATGCATGTGGAAGTTGGGCAGTGAATAAAGAAAACTGAAGAACAAGCGGTGCATTTGAGTGACGGTGTTGGCAAAGAATATTGAAAGCACCGTGGACGGCCAGAAGCAAATATCTGTCTTCAAAGAAGTCCGTTTGGAATGCTTCTTGAAAGGATGAGGATGGTGAGCCTTGGTCTTACATGCTTTGGACATGTTATCAGGAGAGATCCCTGGAGAAGGGCATCAGACTTGGTGAAGTGGAGGGGCAGTAATAAAGAGGAAGCCCCTCGCCAAGAGGGATTGACAGTTACTGAAGCGATAGCCCCAAAGATAACAGTTGTGAGGATGTCGAAGGCAGTTTAGTTCTATTGTGCACTGTTGATGGCTCCTCTAAGGACCACCGTACAGATCTCAACCTCACAAGTTTTATTCTCATAGGTAGTGTGTTTCAGTAAGTGAATATGCGTTTCATGATGTATAAGCAGTATGTTACATAATGCATAGCTTCCTTTTAAAAGTCATGTTCTCTGGAAGATTTATTTGGTTTTTAGTCTTTCAAAGGGATTTTTGAATCACCTTGTTATGTAAGTTGTTTTTTCCTACCTATTTTATTCCAAATGCCCTACGCTGGTCATTCCAAATCCAGGAAAATCTAGACCTGGGCAACCTGCCTTCAACCACGAAGCTCTAGGTTCAAGTGAAGTGGCGCATCCCTCAGCAGCATCTCCCTTTCCTCCTTAGCAGCCTGGTAGCTAGACCCAGCGCGTTCTCCGGTTGCTAGGTAACTTAGCTCGGCGTCACCCGTCGCTGGGGCGACCGTCACTCCGCAACATGATCATTCTGGATTGGCTGAGACTCCCCGACGAGGCGGAGGAAGAGGTGCAGGCATTGGCTTAGACGGCGCCGGTTGGTGGCGTAAAGGAGCATTTGATTGAAAAACCAACGGAGCAGCGGGCGGCGGTGCCCCCTGGTTGAGGGGACTGCGGGGGCTGGGGGCAGCCCGGACGGGGCTCGCGGCCCGGCCTAGCGGGTGCCACAGAAGGAAGGATGAGAGGGACGATGTGGAGGTGCGCCTGAAGGAGGGCCTCCCTCCGGCGCGGTGAGTGTGCGGGAGCCGCTGCTCCGCGGGGCCGGCGCGGGCTTCGAGGCCGGGTCTCTGGGGAACTGCCCAGCGGGCCCTGTGCGCCCCCGCACCCGAAGCCTCGGAGACGGGGCCACCCGACGGGAGCGCGGGCTGCGGCAGGGAGCAGGGAGCATCTCCGTTCGCACCCCGCTGGACGGGTGGGCATCGACGGTTGAGGGTGGGAAAGTGCCCTCAGCAATGGCTGGTGGCCCTTCCAGTGGTTAAAAGGGGACCGCGGGTGTCCCTTGTAATCTGTCCCCGGCACTTTGTAAAGCTCCTGCAGAATCTCATAAATGGGCGTCTCTCTTCTGCTTTCCCCACCGCATAGAGCTGCTCTGGCTTTGCCCTCACGTTCATGCCTCCAGGTACCACCTTTCTGGAGAGGGGTAAGCCGCCACCTCCATTCCAGACTGCCCCGCTAAATGCCCCCAACCCCAACCCCAGCCAGTGAACCGCACACCTGTGCCAGCCTGGATCCCCTCCTCTCCCATCTGTCAGCAGATTGCACCTTCCCCCGGATTCCTTAGTTTGGACTCAACAATCCATTCAGTTATCCAAACCACATCCAAGGTCTAGATCCTTGGCAATGCCTCTTCTTCCACGTCTTCGTCTTCATGGCGCTCAACTCAATTCCCACACCACTCTCTTCATTCTCACACACACACTGTCTCACACACAGCAGCCATCTAGCTTTCCTGGTCATCGTTGGCCCCATTTAAATTTTTTTTTTTTTCGTCCGTTGCTAGACGGATCTTCACTCCCCGAATCAAAGATTACCCCTACCTTAATCACACCCTATAGGTTCACATCAGTAGTTCCATCTTGTTCCCTGCACATACCACATTCTCTCCTGCGTGGTAGTTTTGCTTTGTGTTCAGGCTTACTAGAATGCTCTCTTGCTTGCCCCCTCCCACCCTGGATCTCACTGCTCAATCAATCTGCATTGTGGTAGCTGATGCCTCTTCCTGCCTTCAGATGTTCTCCGTGAGGCCTCAGCCTTCCTGCTGCTATTGGATTCCGGCACTTAACTCGGTAACAGACACAGAGCAGGTGCTTGCCATAGGGGGACTTTTAAAAGTCCATTTAAATCCATTCAGGATTTCAGAAATGAGATACTACTACTTTGCAGGGCATCCGTGGTGTTAACCACAAGGTCAGCAGTTGGAAACTGCCAGCCCCTTCTCAGGATTTCAGAAATGAGATACTACTACTTTGCAGGGCATCCGTGGTGTTAACCACAAGGTCAGCATCCGTATTCGCTCCAGGAAACGCAGAAATCACGTGTGGCCATTAAAGCTATTAATGAGAAAAGATAAATATTGAATTTAGAGCTTGTACATTGATTTCAAGACTCTAAATATTGGAAAACTACTCACTGCAATTGCGTTCATGCCTACTCACAGCCACCCTACAGGATAGAGTAGAACCGCCCCCGTGAATTTCCAAGGCAGTGAATCTTTGCGGAAGCAGAAAGTCTCATTTTTCTCCTGAGAAGGGGCTGGCAGTTTCCAACTGCTGACCTTGTGGTTAACACCATGAGGGGAGAAAGAGGAGGGTACTGAGTGGCTACAAGTGGGAACGGACCTGGTGGCAGT